GCCGAACGCCCCTCAAGCCGCGCGACCCGCCTCCTTGTTTACCACCCTTGCCCGGCTCGAGCTGGGGGAGGGGCCTGTTCTCCCGCCCCTTTCCTCCAGCCTGGCCTCCCATTGGCTGCTCCGGCGCCCCTTTCCCGCTGTGATTGGCCGAAAGGTTCCAGCTGCTTTGAATAAGGCGTGGGGGCGCTGCCCTCATGGCCCCCAGCGTGCAGAGGGCCCCAGTCCCCAGCAGGTACTCGGTCCGCTCCCCAGTCAACTTGGTCACTCCAAAATCCACTTTTATTGCCAAGCCCTCGGTGCCAAAGCCCTCACGGACATCTAAGCCCTCATCACACACCACCTTAACCGGCAAAGCACCAAGTGTCACGCTCCACCTGTGCCAGAGTGGAAGATCATGACGTGTTTCTCTCCCGAAATGTGAAGCAACAACAACAACAGCAAATGAAAAAATTATAAAGCCACTTTCATATTAAAAGTATTGTAAGTAATAAAAAGGAGACGGGCAGAAGAGCTGTAGCAGTAGGACTAAGGAGCACCGCCTTATTGTTCCTTGCACCTGCAGATTTTCAATAATGAAAATACAAAAAAAAATAAGCCTTGTGGTTTCACATCTCCGGTGCTGCCCCGCAGAACTTGAACGCAACCGCCCTATGAGGCAAATTTACATACTTATTATTTGCTTTTCTGAAATGCGTCCTTTGAACCTTTGGTTTGCAGGCAGGACCCCCCAAAACCCCAAAAAGCTCCAGTGTTGTGGGGCTGGTCCCTTGAGCTTACAGACACCCCATGACAGAAAAGGTTACACAGCGCTGCTTTCTAAGAGGATTTGGGGGCATCAGAGGGGATAAGAGAACTGACATCTGTGAACACACCAAAGGGATGTGCCTGGTTTTTCATTTTATGCAGCAGTGATAGAGAAGCTGAAGGCTTATCTTTTAATTCTGTTAAATTAAGAAATCCTCGCTTTGCTTTGCATTTTAGCATGACATTGTCTCCAAGGTAAATGCTAGAAATTAAAGGTTTTCTAAATTAGGCTAAATTAAGATATCCTTTTTCTTCTTAAAGAAGACAAAGCATTGTCTTCAAGGTAAATGTTTAATTACATTTTTAAAACAATTTAGTCTATGTATTAAGGAGACAGAGAGCCCTGTCTCTGCCTTATGACTGCAGTTCCAGGCAGGAGCCATGTAAACTGAGAAATTGGCATTGAAGGAGTTAGGAGGCAGAGCGTAATTACTGGAAAGATGAGGATCCTGATGCATTATGATTCCTGTTTTTAGCAGAACTGGAAGAAATAATTTTAAAGAAAATTACTTTTTTATGGCCACAAGAAAACTAGAATTTAATATCTACCTTTCTGTGAGGAGGAAAACTACAGAGTGATAGATAATACTCAAAGCAAAAGAGTTTGGCAAGATAATTACACTCAGGTCTCTAGCCTATCTGTTAAATAGGCTAGATTTTTTTTCCTCTCTCTTTGCCTCTAGGAAATGCTCCCGTTCTGGCTGCAGGAGCATCCAGACGCCTCTCTCGGGCTGGAAAAGCACTTTGTTTCTTAGCCAGAAAGCCCTGCCCGGCTCTCAGTACCACTCAGACCTGTGATTTTTAGGCAGCGTGGCAAAGAAAGGCTGCAGCAGGCAGATGGGAGAAAGGCTGAATCACTGGCAGGCAGTTTCAGAGCTAACGTGGTTAGTATTGCAGAAAAACAGCCTTGTTTCACTGGAGTAGAAAGCGATAGTACATTTGCATGCATCTTTAAAGCAGGTTTACACAGCGTGTAAACCAGACGCTTAAACTTTGTTGATAGCTACTACAAAATATAGATAGTAACAACAAAACCCGGTGAAAACGCTGGTTTTAAAAAGGAGAAATCCTTTATCTCTAAGAGAACAAGCTCGGCTCTTGACAGAACAAGGTGCCATTTTCCAGCGTGTAGCTAAAAGATTTCTGACACCTCACTCTGGTGCGCTGCCTAATTTGCCGTGCGGCTTCCAAAGCCGGATCGGGCTCTTCCCACCGTGGGCTCCTACTCCCGTGCAGCCCAGCGGGAACGTTGCAGAGAGCACGGAGCTTCCAAGGCACCGTCCCTCTTCGTTCTTGCCTGCACGCACAAGGACTAGCATCTGTTAAAAGGCTTAGATATGTGTAAGCTTGCAGGTCCGCTGCACCTACCCTCACTTTATCTGGACACGATCAGATAAGGGGAAATCCATATGTTTAAACTGGCTGAAACTTTACGCAAGCAACAGCCCTAAAATGTGTCAAAGCGGAGCTCATCCACAACGGTGAGAATGAGTAAAACCATCCCTGATGGCCTGTAATGACTCAGGACGGAAGAGATCTGGCTGATATCGATTCTTTTAAGGTTTTAGAAATACAAGCAGAGGACACAAAGCTCCTGAGAAGCCTAGATAATCAGGAACGTTGCTAGCTGCTGCGTGGAAGTGAATTGCAGCCACGCAGAGGACCTGGCAGCTTGATTTTAACCAAGGGAGAACGTGACATTGGCTTGCATTGCTTGAAGAACAGAGCCCAAATGCACGATTGCTCCTTAGATTAGACCATCCACTGACTGGGAGCACTGAGATGGTTTTGGGAAGAGGTATCCTAATAAGACACGTTGAACTGTAATAATAACATAACCAAGAAGATGTTGCTGGATTTAGGTATAGCCACATGAGTTCAGCAAATAGAGCAAGATCCTTCCAATCATAGCCAGCAGTTTTGACCTATATATAGTGCAAGAAAAATACTGTATAAGGGAGATGACGGAAGGTATAAAAACACACATTTAAGTTTCTTTAGAGCAGCCTTCCTTCTCCTTGAAATGATCCCATTGGCAACTGTTGCCACCTTGTGCTGCCAATAGTGGAATTTGCCCTGATTTGTGCTTAGTGTCATTTCATATATTTTTTGCTGTGCAGACATAAGGTTTTCATATGATAATTCCATGTGATAAACCCACAAAGCAAAAGGCTATTGACCCCTTCTCTTTGCATCAAGAGTGACCAGCTGATGTGGAACACAGTTCCTGTCTATGCAACTATTGAAATGTTGCAGCTAGAGCTGAATTTGTAAAACAGAAATAGCATATCTTGTCTCCAAACCTTTGAATTAAGGACCCTCATCATGCACTGACCAGCAGGTTTGACTGCTTTTCTTTTAATTCCACATGTCCTATATACAACATATTAATTATCTGAATTTAAACTTACGTCCAGGGATATTCGAAAGTCCTGCTGAGAATTCAAATGGCAGTTCTCTGTTAGCAGGAGAAAGAGACATTTGCACAATAAAAAAGGCCACCACTACCTCACATAGACCTAACAATTTCCTAAGAAAAAGGAGGAGGAAAATGCCATTCACATGGGAAATAAAAATCAGTTTTACATTTCTTAAACTAGAACTGTATAGAAACACGACAAAGAGCTTTCACAACAAGAGGAGTCTTGCTTAATTATGGTAGAGGTCTGTGTCTCAAAAGTCTTAATTCTTCTTTGCCAGGGAAAATCCAAAACAAGAGGAAAAACTCTGCAAAAGCAGAAACATAGCAGAAGGTTCATGGAGCAAATGAATGGAAACAGTACTAGT